CCGCACCGCTTCCTCTGCTCGGGTGCATTGTTTTCGTGCGTGTTCACTCGACTGGGACGAGAAACTCCACCTCCAAAGTACATTACTTCTGACAACATTGAAGGTATTTATAGTTTTGTCCAGTGGTTATGTTTGTCATTGTTTTAGGGGAGCCATGGACATCTCGTTTTCATCTTTTTTTTATGATACCAAATGAGTGGACGAACAAGTAATGTACCTGGTGGTAAGCAACACGCCTGTCACTCAGAGACATAAGTTGACAAGTCCCATGTACCTGTAGCTTCACCAGCACCCTTATCTTTCAAAAACGGAACGCAGTCTGTACGTACTCTTTTACAAGCAACTCTACTGCTATCAAAAATTATATCATGTCAAAAATTATGTGGTCAGAAGAAAAAGAAAGTAAATAAAAAGATGGCGCTACGGCGAAAAAGTCGTTAAAACCAAATATAAAGTTCTGCAACAAACACTCAGAAGAATTCGTAAGGTCCGTTAGTTCGTTCCGTGGCTTAGTTGGCATAGCATCTGGTACGGTTTGCTGAAAGACTTTGGTTCGAATCCAACCGGATCGAAGGAATTATTTCTTACTGTTCGATCTTAGTTTCGATCTCGATCGAATTATAACAAACTAGTGGAGTAATTTCACAAAAATAAGTGAATATCGTAGTGGTCAAACATTCAATGAACTTAAAAATCAAAGAAAAATTAGTTGACGAATTTAATAATTAAATGATATTTCTATAATAGCTACAAATTTCACCCTCACTATAACCACTGCTACTAGAGTTTCTTTTTAGTTACAGGGTGGATTAATTAATCCTTACTCAATAGTTCTAACACGTGGAGCGAGGAGGCAATTAAGCAATGTCCTCCACGAGCAACTACAATAAACTGCAGTTGCAATCGCCACGAGTTCAGGCGATAACAGGTCGCGTGGCCCTTACTCTGAAACCAACTTACATTTGCAGGCAAACTAATTGAGTAAGAAATACGTTGTACTGCTTAGTATCTGATAAAGGTATAGGTGGAAACGGAGATGTACAGGCAATTTTATAGAAAATATTGGTAGCTGAGATGAGGTAAATCGGTGTTACGAACGTCATTGAAATGTAGAAAATAAAAGCGATCTGCCAAGACGAACGTAGCGACAGAGAGTTCAAATGGTTGACAAAATCTGAGGGACAGCATCATAAGGATACTAACAAAACCCAAGGCCGACTAACATAGTGCTCAAAATAGTGGGAAGTCGAGGAAAAGTAATAAAAATCTGATAAAACTGGATGACGACAATGTATTATTCGATCGCATAGTTATATTTGTATTGCTTATTTATGTAGGAGACTGTGTGATTTGCCCTCACGTGAGCATTGTTAGACTTATTACAATGGTAAAGGGAACCAACTGATTATAAGTTGGCCTTTAAAGTTTTTCAGTGTCTTATAGAAGTAAGTATTGTCACGAAATGACAAGTCTTTTCATACGCAATGTTGACGTGTCACGAAGAATTAATATAACACATACTGCCGCTGCTCCATGATCTGTTGTACTTAGACTTTCATCCTTACGATGTATACTCCAAAACATTTAGCGTGATTAGAATAACACATGTCAAATTTTATGAACCAGTGATGGTACACGATCAGAGAAATTAAACTGACCTATTACATTTAAATAAGTGTTTTCTTCTTATTATTATATCATATATATATATATATGATATAATAATATTATAAAGCATATTATAAATATGCATATAATAAAGCTTGCCTTCGTGGTGAAAGGATCAGTCGGCGTAAGGTACTCCCCGATTCGACTCAGGGTGCGTCAGTCTTACAGGAAAGATATGGTACGTGTCGTTTGGTCCTTTCGTGCAACCCAATCAGTGTCTTAATTTTTTTTTTATAATACCAAGTCGAACGACGAACAAGTCGTGCGCCTAGTAGTAGTAAGCCCATAGCAGTTGCAGTGTTACTCTGAGCTTTAAATCATAAAGATCTGGGGGAACCGCCACGCCGCCCGTCACCCTGAGACAGAAGTTGACAAGTCTCATGAACCTGTAATTTCACCAGCACCCGCACCCTTCACAATCGGAACACAGAAATGTGATTACTGCTAGGCGGTAGAAATAAGTAAGGTGGCAGTACTTCCCTGGATGAGCTCTTTCACAAGGAGCTCTACTGCTACTAACTAAATATCATGGTAACAACTGAAATCAACTCATATAAATCATTAATTAACAGGGCCAACCCTAGCATAATGGCGAAAACTGCCATTAATTGTTACTTTTCAGTTTAATTTCCGTAGATGTAACCGAACGTACCTAGATAATAAATAGTATATTCATATTTTATTTATAGCTTTGTGTATACCTTACAATATAAATGGAATATTTATAATTTGTTATTTTACTTATTTACTTACATCCTTAGAATAATAACGCATAGAATGATAGTTTCATATCAAACGAACTGTCACAAGTGAGGCAAAAATCAAATTCATGTAGGCTAGTTTTAGTAGTAGGTTAATTTTCGGTTTTAGTGAATATTTATATAAAAATACAAGTTGAAACGCGTTACTTCCTTGTGGAATGTGATGTTAGTATCTATTTTATGTTTGTCTGACGTATTTTTACACTCATTTACCGCATTTCGTCATTTTTAGCTAAAATTCTTGAGCTGTTCGCGGACCTTGAGCACTGAAGGCCCGCCCGCTCGTGTAGGCCCATTGGGAGCGCTTCAACTTGCCTCACTTAGCGTGTGCGGACTAGGTTTCTATGCGTTATTATCCTAAGCTTACAGCTTATTTTATGTGTTAGTATGGTTAGTATTATCGTATTTTATGTGCAAAAGCGGTGCAGCCCTACCAGGTTCGCAGAGAACAGGACGAGTGGCAACGACAGCGACACCGACCCGTCTCTTCCCCCGCGACTCTCCTCCCCGCATGCGGCCGCACGGTTTCCGCTCGCCCTGGACCAAGACGAGTCCGCGCCGGACGTCTCGCGCTGAGTTCCTCTTAGCTTCACCATGAGATAAAATCGACCACGGCTACTAGAGCCTCCTCGCCACGACAAGGCGGGCACACCGCGGCGGGCGGGAAATTCGGGAGAGTAGCGGTGAAAGCCTCCTCCAACTTCTTCCAACAGACTCAGTCTTGTGCGTGGCCATAACGTTCCTGCTATTTATACAATATCATCGTTCCACCTCCATGATGACCTGACTCGTCTTCTTTGTTTTTAAAGCCTGTAAAATTGGTGGGTACCAATGTCTGTGACCACCTTCTATCTGTGACTTTTTCAATAACGCCGGCCTATTTCCACTATAGGGATAATACCGGCTTTGTAACATCACTTGCCTTTGTCTTTTTCCTCACTGTTGAGCTGCTAACGCGATCTTTCAGCGTTACACTCATGTAGCTAGCTTCTTTCTATCCCTCTCTGGCAGGTTATTATTAGGTTGAGATAAGACTTTTTGATTTCCCATGTTTGACATGCATACTTTAAGCTGGGGCAGTATATTCGTATACATTGGATAAAATTCACATAAATACATAATTTCGGCGAAAATAACACGAAATAAAAAATCTAATAACACAAAAACCCTTAACATTTTAAAAATTACCGTTACAAAATTTCTCTACTTGATGAGTCGATCGACACTAAATTTTCGATGCGTTCCAACCATAGATATAGTCCAATACAAACTTTCCGTCGTATGCATCATCGTGTTAAGTTGTGAAAACAAACATTAATAATATGAATCGGGCCCTTTACAGCATTTTAACAGGTCCCATTGTCACGGCTGACGTGATACATTGATTTGTTTAGAAAAAAAAACATGTCGCGTAGACATAGATCCGAAAAAATAATTTCCTCTATGTAACAATCGCGAAAACCTTAGAATTTGATATTAATAATATTTCTTATTGTAATATAATATATTATGAATTTTAATTACCGTATGTTAATTTGATAACGTAAAATTATATAAAATAATTATTGCGTAATTATTGCAAATTTACGTTGTTTTGATTTTGCCGGCATAAAGTCAGAGCTGTGTAGAAGGAGTACAAAAATGTCAAGAACGAATGAAGCAAGACGTATTTAGTTTGCTCCAGAACTGCCGATCTATCTACTGGACCGACAAAGTGTTGCAAACTTCCTACAATCTTAATACAAATTACAATCAGCGACGGACGGCATATTACACCACGTGCTTACCACACAGAGGATATCAATTGACAGTTACGCTAAACTCGATACGTAATCGCAACATCGATACCAATTAATCGACAATCCGTGACAAATATTGATCATGTCGAGAACCTGTATTAGACCGGACTGTCTACTAATGAGACAGGTGTTTTTTAAACTTATCATAATGATAAAGACGAAGATGCTTACAAAATTGACGAGCTGACAGAATTCGAGATTTAAATAATGATGGTATGCTTAGTGATTATAACTTCACTGAATTTAATGTTATCGATAATGATTTATTTATAAATACAACCGAGAACGAATAAACATTACAGTCACAAAATTGAAATAGAGTGACTATAGTCGATACAACATAGAGTATAATTAACATAGAGTCATATTTGATAATATGTCAAAAGTTCTCTTATCACATGAAAGTCATAAAAATAATGCATGAAACAAATTATGTACATATAAATGTGAAATTTATAGCTCTCCAATTTAAGTATTTATACTCAAATAGCAGAGAGTTTTTTAATGCCATCGACAAATGTGGTCCGTAGAATCTTGAAACCTCTCTCCTAAAAAAATTGCATTTTGCAGTTGTGGCCTTATAACAACCAAAGGTGCGACATGTAGAACGACTGATGCTTGTGCAAAACAATTATTGAATATCATTTACTTACAGATGAAAGTAATTCAAAATCGCGCATTAACATTTTTGAACGTAATGAAAGCTTCAATAGTTGAAAAACATTGACTACAATGGGTCTCAGCATCAAGGCACCAGGCACCAGCAGCGCCCGCGCACGCCTAGTGGCACCCCGCGTCATTCCGCGCCAAACCTCCGCGCGCGACGCATGTGTCGCGACGCTTGAAGTGCCGCGCGCGATCGATCTATCGCCCGCTCGAAGCGTGACTTTGCTCTCGAAGGATTTACTGTGCGATGTGCTATGAAGTTTGTTCTGTGACCGCCCTCTAGGGTTGAATTACTTTTGTCAGTGACTGGTTTTACATTTGGATCTATATTACCAAGTAAGTAACCTGAAATAGTAAGTTTTATGTTTTCTCGTACACCATTAAGAGCGCCCACGTCGGTCAATATCAAAATTGCATGAAATTTATAGACCATTGTGAACGATTTCATAGTATTACTTTTTAAAGCTAGCCGTTACATATGTAGATCTTCCTTCATAACATTATTATAGTCGTGGACATAAATCGAAGGTCTGCCAGTAATGCGAATTAGGAGACAAAAATAGTTTAAATCTTATGTGTAGGATGATATCCTCTTTCAATTATATCTAAGAGTAGATTATCGATATACTTGTCAATATTTATTATCTTTATCGGAATTGCAAAAAAAAGCGTCGCTTGCTCCGTGAATGTTGTTCTCAAGTTTGTTGTTAAAAAGCACAAATATCGCGTCATTGCATTATTTATTCTATTATTTAAAAATATTGAGAGTGATATAAATAATACTATGATGAGTTAGCGGTATAGAATAAATAAATGCGTATCAGCTTCCAAACAATAGTTACAAAATGGCGCCAACCAGGCTTTTAGTCTGTATGCCTGTTGATCCAATGTAGTCCAAATACAAACAGACAATTTGTATTTGGACTTTTGCCGTACCTCTCGGAGCGATGTTCTCTTGATAATTGACGTGATTGCATTCCGCATGGAATAGTTGGAAAATTACTTTTACACTAACGATATATATTTTCGTCTTATGATCTAGTTTTTAAATTAAGCGTGTTAAATGAGTCATGTGTAAAGAAAATTATGTCTGTATCTTATGAATCATTTGCTTTCTTTTTGAATTCTTTACCAACATTTTGAGCAAATTATCTACGAAATAACACTAATCTATTTAGGTGACCAGTTGCCAATGTTTTGTTTCGTTCACTGTATTTGTTTCATGTTACAAATATTATCCGTTTCTAGGTTACTGTGTGCAGTACTGTATAACAATACTAAGTATGTCTCCAATGTAGTTACTAAAAATTTGTTTGACATTTAGTTTTTCGAATATTCGTAATTCTTTTGTCGTAACACCCAAACTATGTAGAATTCAATCGAATTCAATTAACACTGGGCTAACAACAGAGACCCTGGTGTTTTCTTAATGCGGTTCTGGGATACATAATTTAGCCCTTAGCGCGTCTTTTGTGTGGTGTTTGTGTGTGGATTTATATTTCATACACCGCGTCGTGAATAGTGGCTCATTCCTAAATAGTTAATTATTTTACTTATTACTTAATAGAGTTTGGAACGTGCTAAAATAATCACGTGACAAAGTAGAGCCGATATACGATTGATATGTTTACGTCTAACATTTGTCACTGCGCCTGTCACCCTGAGATATAAGTTGACAAGTCCCATGTGCCTGTAATTTCACCAGCACCTTTACCGTTCAAAACGCAAATACAGCAATGCACTGCTTATGCATTACTTACTGCTTGGCGACAGAAATAGGCAAGGTGGCAATATTTCCCTGGGTGAAGTCTTTCCCAAGGAGCTCTACTGCTATTAAAACCTCATAGTTAGTAATATTTTCGTAGTAAACTTCAGCTGACATTGTTACGGCGCCATTTAAACGCCATATTAATGGAGACCCTAGCGTTCTAAACGAAGTCAATTACGCGATAAGACTAAAGATAACAATAATAGAAAATTCGAAACAACTATCGGATCGTCCGAACTGATGAAAATTAGTTTATTGATTTAACAGTTTACAAACAAATCCATTTACTTTTATCGCAGTTGGAATTGGAAATTGTAATACTATTCGAGATGGAATAGCAAATTGTAAATCATTTTTCGAACGATTCGAGGAAATCCATAGTATCTACTTAAACAATTGAGAAACGAAAAAATTTAATCATTCTTACTGAAATGTTCGCTTTCGTTATTCACAACATTAACTTCAACAATTTCCAGAAGACGCTTTGTTATGCATAGCAAATCATTGTCTTCTTTTGTCGCATTAGAAAAAAAGTTAAACACTAAAAGAAGATTATGAGATTTCTTTAATGTAAAAAATCAACCTCAATTGCCGCGTGTCAACGAATTAGCAAAAACTGTGAGACTACAACGATAGTTCATTGATCCATTTTCTAGACAGTTATTTAACCGCAAAAAACCTCGTTTCACTTACAGGCATGTGACAGTGGTGCTTGATTGATAGCTGATATCGACAAGACATATAATATTTTGTTTAAGAGTTAAAACGTCGAAATTGAACTAGGTCACGTAGCCTTATTTGTTTAGGATTAAAAGAATTTGGGTAAGAATTTTTTATTTGAGTTTGATAGTCTATCTGTTTGGTTTTCATTCCTGTGGTAGACCTGAATACACAGTCAAATATTGGCATTACAATCTTAGGATGCTTTTGTATCTGTTTAGGAGCTGGAACAATCTAGTTAAGTGCCGTTAGAATTAAAACAATATAGTTAGCTATATAATCAGTCGATATAATGGAACCGTTAATTTTTCTTTAATAACTAGTTGTGTATAATTTCTCGCAGTTTCAGCAGTGCCCCACTATCTTGGATGGCTCTTGCATACATTTGTGGGAGAGTTGGGACACAATGCTTCGAAGCTCTCACGCTCTCGGTGGGTGGTGCTTGCGACATTCGCTGTCTGCACTGGTCTTACAAACAGCTCATTTTCGATGCACAATTGAGTACGATACCTAATCAGTGTCGTTCTTTACATTGATTAACATTTACTAAAATATTAAGGGCACGTACAAAATCGTGATTCAACCTTACCTGTATGTTTACTTCCGTTGATTATTTGCAATTATTTCACCTTTCATTAGTCATGGTTAGTTATTCGGTGTTTGCTTAGGCCGTCCATTTAGCCGCAACAACCTACCTAGTTTAGGTTGCTTTTTAAAGTTCACTTTCACGCCAAAGGGCACAGTAACAAGATTTTCTCATAAATGATTATCTACATCGATCATCGTTGATGAGTCATCAATGATTCAATTCTCGCATTGATTTTGTATTAGCATTTTTCAAGCACGAATGCACCTAGTTTCAGTTATCACAATACACTACTTACCTTTAAAAACTGTGTATTAGTGACAAGCGAAAGTAGTGTTTATAATCCTGTAGTGTTTAGATAATGGCATTCTTCACACGTCACGCGACTTGGCGTGAGGGCGAAAATGCTATGGAATGCGAATATTGCACTTCTCGGTTGCCAATTTATTGCGATCTTAATACGCTTGCAGACGTATTTACTTATTGGAAGTTTCTTTTTCCGCTCTTTGAACAATGCAGCAAATACTGTTATAGAAGCAAGTTTGCACGCTTTCTCGTTGTTTGTTTTGATAATGTGCATATGTTATTGCTTTATCTATATCGCCTTTCTGTAAATGTTTTTTTAAATATTTTTGTAGTGTCTATTATTATTTCTGCTCGGCCGATTCATGTTGATTTCACATTTATAGATTAATATATTTTATATTCAGCACTATTTATTTCATGGTTATAACCATATATATATAAGTATACTTCATATCAATCGTTATAGCATTCAATTTCACACTCCTGTTCTCAAATAGTAAATACGGCATTCCTGTGCGCATAGCCGTAACGCATTTAATCCCCTGCATATTACGCAGCACAGTGCCTTTGATTTTTTATTTATTAGAGGCGCCACAGATTCCGGTCGTTGTTGCAAGTCATTCAAACTTAAAATTCCACGTGGACACTACACTTGAACTTGCTATATAACGATTTAAGCTATATGGAAGGGCTTACCAGTTTCTTATGTCACTAATAAAAATACATGTAACGCATGTAGTAATGGCTCCATAGAGCCTCATGTCGTGCTAAGCAGATTATACTGCGCGGAACGTCACTCGTACATTGGACTGATCAAATAAAATGTCCTGTAGGCAGTCCTTTGTAGCAGAATGTATTTTCTGCTACAAAGGAGATGAGAGATTGCAACAGGGGGAGATGGTGTG